GGAGCAGTCAGTGAGGGAAATCAGGACAACAGAGGATGGGGGCAGAAGAGGGAGAGGGTCCCAGGAGCTCCTATGCCCAAGATCCTCATCCAGGTGTATCCTCAGACCTTGACAGTCCAGTTTGTAGTCACTTCATCTCCCTCTGAAAGGAACAAGAATCTTGATGGCATAGAGGTGGAAAGGGTGAATACAATGGGGCTTCAATGATACTGGGATTTCTTAGGCTTTGTCTTCCTGGGTCACAGACATTTTTTTTAAATCTCCAAATGTATTTCTCTGTGTAGCTCCTTTATATAATAATGATGATAACAGGTAACATTTCTTGACCTCTTAAGTTTGTTCCATTCGGCTTGCTAAGCACATTACATACATTATCTTCTTTGATTTCCACATTGTGACTGACTTCTTTAGGTATGCGGAAACTGAGGTTCAAGGAGAGGAACCCTGACTCACTCAAGAGCTAAGATTCTAACCCATGTCTGTATTCAAAAGTCCTTTTCCTTAACCTCTATTCCACTTCTCCAGATCTAAGATACCTATGAGACTTGGAAGAAACAAAAATGTATTGGGTCATTATGAAAACAGAGATAGACAGAAAAGTGCCCCATCCGCTCTGTCACTTTCTCCTTCAGCTTCCATTTCCTAGAACCTTGGAGCCATCTAAGAATCCCCAGAGGCAATCAAAGAGGCTCATAAATCTATATAGGCCTCATTAGCCATAAGGCTATTATGTAGTCATTAGATCTTTTAGCAGCAGAAATTGGATAATAGTCATTGAAAAATGCTAGATGGGTGGAGTCCTTTCTCCAGAATAGGAGTTTCCCAGAACACCAGCTAAGGGTTCACAGAGAGCCCTTGGAAGAGAAATGGATAACACACAGGAACGAGCAGCAGAGATGTCCCAAAGTCAGAAAATGTGCTTGCACCATCAAAAAGGAGAGGGACATGACCAGGCTGTTTGTCTGGGCCTCCCTCAGTCTGACCCAATAAACTCTAAAATGGGTGAGTAGAGGGAAGAAAGGCAGAAGGCCAGAGTTTATGATAGAGTACCTCAATAAGTGCTTTTTAGTATCATTCATTCAGGAAATATTTGTTTAGCACTTACCATATGGTCCAAATTACCTTGTATTTTACCCCATCAAGATGGACTCTGTGGCATCCCATTTAACTATATTTGGATTGTTGTTGTTTACCTGGAACTGACTCCTAGCGGACCCTCCAGAAGGTTTTCAGAGGCAGTTAATCTCACAGGAGGAGGAGATTGCCCATCCTTCTTCTGTGGAGCAGCTGGTGGCCTTGAACCGCATGGTTTTGGGACTGCAGCACAACTTCTTGGCAGTAGGCTATCAGAGCTCCCTATATTTGGATTAATATTCCAAATTCAGTAGTAAACAAGACCGACAAGTTCGTGTCCTTGAGGACACAATGTATTAATGGGAAAAGGCAAAGAGTAAACAAAAAATTAGATGAACTAACAAGATAATTTCCCAGTGTGATAGAGGAAACAGAAGGTGATGTGGTGGCATTATTAAAGAAGTCTCTCAGAGAAGCTAATATTTCAGCTGAGGCACCACATTGGACCTGCCAATGTCTTGTGACCCTGAGACAGGAAAGAACTTGCTGTGCTTAAAGAAAAGAAAGAAAGCTAGTGAAACTAGAAGGCAGCGTCTGAGGAGAAAGTGGAACAAGAGGAAACTAGAGAGACAGGTAAGGGCTTTACCAAGCGGCCCTTAAACTATAACCTGTTGTTGTGTATTGTTTAAGTTGACACTTAGTGGAGTTTCAGAGGCAGTAAATTGTATGGGAGCAGATTGCCCATCCTTCTCCTGTTGAGCACCTGGTGGATTTGAACTGTGTGCCTTTGGAATTACAGCACAGCTTCTTACCACTAAGTGACCAGAGCTCTCGAGTTAGAGGCTAGACTCTTACATTTGTCACCCGTTTTAGGGAATCAGCTTCTCTGAGTTCCAGTTTCTTCATCTATAAAATGGATATACCAATAATTCAATTATTACACAAACACAACCTTGCTCACTGAAACTGAGGAGGACCTCATGCACCTACTGCAGAGGGTCAAAGACTGCGGCCTTTAATATGGACTGAGGCTCAATGTCAAGAAGACAAAAATTCTCACCACTGGACCAGTTGGTAGCATCAGGATGGATAGCGAAGAGATTGAGATTGTTCACGGCTTCAGTTTGCTCGGCTCCACGGTCAACACTCTTGGCACCAGTAGCCAGGAAATCAAAAAACGTATTGCGATGGGAAAGTCTGTGGTTAGGGACCTCTCCAAAATACTCAAGAGCAACAGTGTCTCTCTGGAGACTAAGGTCCGCCTGATACAGGCCATGGTT